CTGTGGACGCGAGCACACTAGTCCCCACATGTGAGGACGTTTATTTAACTGTCCCAGTGAGGAATCAAAGTGCCCGAGGCTCAGTGACCGTGAGGGAGAGCTGGCCCTGGCGTGTATCTGCACTGTGGGGTAGTTCCCGTCTGAGAGGACACCTTCGGCTACAGGCCCCGAGGAGGACTCGTCCTCACGGGGACTGCCGGTGGTGTGAGCACAGTGCCCAGTACGTGTGTCCCGTGGTTAGAGAGGCAGCAGACTGGCCTTAGTGTTATCCTAGGTGCGTGTGGGGGAGGGAGGCACGGAGGAGCTTACCCTTTAATCCTCAGGCTGTGCTTGTCCAGTTAGAGCAAGGTACAATGCCACACTCTGCCTGTTTAACCCTCTGACTCCACCTCCGCCCTGGCGGGGTCTGAACCCGGCGCTGGCCCGTTGGCGTCCCTGTGGAGGACGTGGCACCCTGACTGGAGCCCGGCGTCCTTGGCATGCGACCGTCTATACCGCAGCCCTGCCTAGATCCCCGAGAGCTGGGTCAGCCTGTGCACTCCAGTTAGCCCCGACAGTCAGGTGTGTCTCCTTCAGGTCCTCAGGGCTGCTGCCTCTCCTCTCCCACACAGGGGCTCCTGCCTCCCGCTCTGTGGTTGCAACAGCAACCTCCAGGCCTCGTGCCCCGACCTCTGCAGTCCTGCTCCACCCTCACGGCTAATGAGCCACTTGTCCTGGGGATCCCACAAGGGATGGGGAGAGGCTGGCTGCGTGGGCCATCCCTGCTCTCTCTCGAGCCTCCTCCACTTCCCTGCCTCGCTGGGAATGAACGTGGTGCCCCCATCCTGTGCCCTCCACCCGGCCTGCCTGCAGTGGGTGGGCGTTTGGTGCAGGGCGTCGGGGACATTGGAGTGTAGCACGCTAGGGTGAAGACAGGAGCATGCTAGGACCAGCGTGCAGCAACTCTTCTCCTCGGGCGAGAAGGAGGGCCGTGCCCTCAGACGGGGCTCCGGGGCTCGTCATCAGCATGAGGGCTATGTGCCGCGGGTCCTAGCCGGGGCCCAGACCTGACCTCATACCCCAGTACTCGTGGCCCACTCGTTTCCCTAAGAGGGTGCGGAACGAGTCTGCGCCTGCTGAGAGAAGCCCCGGCAAGGGGGCTGGGTGCCCAGTCGGGCCTGAAGAGCTGAAGGGCCGCGTGGGCATCCCCGGCTGTGACCCGGAGCCCTCCCTGCGCGTCCTCCCACCCTGCGCCATGTACTCGTGTCCAATGCGTGGACTGGAATGGCGGGAAGCAGGAGGAGAGGCCACGCGGGTGACGCCCAGCAGCTGGCTGTTAGGACTGCTCTAACGCATCCTGTCCTGGGGGCCGCGTCCTGTCCTGGGGGCCGCGTCCTGCTGGCAGGCTCTTGGAGGTCCCTGACCTGTTTCACGGCTGCAGTGCCGCCCCTGGCCGGCTGGGGGCACCTGTAGTTCTCCCAGGTCCGCAGGTGGAGGTGGGTGTGGACCTGGGCCCCCTGGCTCCTGGGACTTGCACAGCCCCCAGCCTGGGCCGTGCGGCTTCTCATCCCCTTTCAGCGTGTTTTGTTCTGAGTTGGCACACTTCAAAGATGGCAACTGATTTTTAAAAAATGAGCTTACTGGGACCAGCCAGGTGGAGTGGTGGTGAAGTCAGCTGGATCCTGCATGGCCAACTGGTTTGAGCTGGTTTGAGTCCCAGACCCAGATGCTTAAAGAATGCTGGGCACATGTGTGTGCATGCCCGAGATCCAGGAGGAGATTGGCCCCGGGGTGATGTGGGCTCTCTCTCTCTCTGTCTTTCTCTGGTGAGTGCACGCACCTGTTAGCAAAAAAAGGAAAAAAAAGAACTTGGATGAATGGTACCTTGGGAAAAAAGCGTTTGTATATAAGCACAGGAGGAGTCTGGGGCGGCGAAGTCTGGCAGTGCTGCGAGCTGCCCCGGGCTACCTCGAGGTTTCGTTAGGGCTGGTCTGACTGCCGTTGGGCTTACGGTTTCTTTCCCTCTCTTGCAGCGGCAGCCGGCTGGGAGGCCTGGTTACGGTGTTGTGCTTCTTTTTCAATCATGGGGAGGTAGGTCATCAAAATACTTTCACTCCCAGAAATGCGGGTTTCCTTTAAATTTGATTCCTTTAACTTTAATCTCTAATAGCATTTTTAAATGTTTGACATTGCTGTGGGACTCAGTACTTGATACACCAGTGTTCCTGTCACGTGGCTTTTTATGGCCACTGCATGATCGTTCGATTTCACGTGTGGTGTAGCTCGGTATCTGCAAAAGCGCTGGGTCCGTATCAATCTTTATGCGATTTTAAAATGGAAAGCTCGAATTTTACGAATGATAGAAATAAACCAGCGTACCTTTAAGAATCCTTCGCAGAATATTTTGTTATGCCTACAAATCTGCACGTGTCTGAGGATTTTTTACAGAGAACATTGTAAAGGACAAAGACTCTGGGTCCATCCTGCCTCAGCTGCGTGGTGACCGTGACCTGAGCGTGTGGCATCGCAGCGCCTTAGCCCCTCGTTGTGGACGCAGAGACCCTGCACACCTCCTGAGGTTATTCAGAGAGGAGTGTCCGTGGACCTAGGTGCCTGGAATAGTGTCTGTGGCGTGGTAACTGCTGTGTAATTGTCACCTCCAACTCCGGTGGCTGTTGTTTTGATTCTGATCGTGTGCTTAGTTCAGGGTTAGTTATAATACGAATTCAAAGTGCTAATGAGCCCCTTCCTCCAGTCATAGTTATAAGTGAATTTCTGCTAGTCAGTCCCTGTCCACTTTGATCCCATGGGGAGTCCCCGTGGGGGCACATTTGCGTTGGTAGAGCGACTCGGTCCCTTCCTGCATGTCCCGTCAGCATCCGCACTCCACAGTCCATGAGGGTGCACACAGTGGAACGCTCATGGGGTAATCCTGCCCAAACTTAACAGAGTTAAGGTTCAATTTCTTTTTCTTTTTTTTTTTTTGGAGAGTTTTTTTTTTGTTGTTTGTTTTGTTTTGTTTTTGCTATAGGGAGCGTGTGTGCGCCAGACAGACAGAGAGAGACGGAGAGATAGAAAGCAAGAAATCACCCCCCAGAGAGGATGGTCACGCGCAATCCCTTCTCCTCCATTCTCCTCTTGGGATCTTGGGCACGCACCCACACACGTGCCCAGCGTGAGTTTTAAACCACCAGGTCCGGGACATGAACTGTGGTCGACTACATGGGAGTCCAGCGACATAGCCATTATGTTAACTGCTGGTTCCAATTTCTTTTTTATTTATTTTTTTTAATAATTATTTTATTTTATTTTATTTTATTTATTTATTTTATTTGACCAGAGAGGGGCAGAGTGAGAGGCAGAGAGTGAGAGTAAGAAAACAAGCCACCAGGTTTGGGACTCGAACTCCCGTGGGTCATATGGGAGTCCAGAGCCCTTAACCACCATGCTACCTGCCAGCCCCATGAATTTTCTTTTTAATTGGCGGATTACTAGTGGCTGGTGGAGTCACAATCAC